CACCACATAAGCAAAAAGAAAAAAGCCGGAAGTGGCGCTGTGGCTCAAGTGGTAGAGCGCTAGCCTTGAGCTGAAGAGTTGAGGGACAGCGCCCAGGCCCAGAATTCAGGCCCCATGACCAGACCTCCTCCACAAACAAAAGCTGAAAGTGGAGCTGTGGCTCAGGAGGTAGAGTGCCAGCTTTGAGCCAAAAAGTTCAGAGACAATGCCCAGGCCCTAAGTTCAAGCTCCTATTAATGGCACAAAAAATATAAATATAAAACCCAACAATCAAGGAGACAGATGGCGGTGGTTTGGACAAGGGTTTGCTGACAGATTGGATATGAGTCAAGGATGACCCCAAGATTTCTGGCCTGATCATATAAGGATGGAATTGCCATGTTCTGACATAGATGGGCTGCAGAGGGAAGAGGTGTGAGATGCAGTGAGGATCTGAACAGGTTTGGCCTTTAAAAGCTTGTGATGCTTGCCTTTTAGACACTCAAGAGAGGACATCAAAGTAGTATTGGGGTAAATGAGTTTGGAGCCCAAGTGAGAGTTCTGAGAATCATCATTCACAAACACCATTTGTTTTTTATCCTTTTAAATTTAAAACACATGCCCAAATCAAGAGAAAAGTCCCTTGGATCCTTCCTCACCCCCCCCCCAAAAAAAAAACAACTACACCCAACTAACATCCAGATTCAACAAGCACTGCCTCCTGCTGTTACTTGAAAGTATTTAAAGGAGCTAGGAGCCAGGTGCTGATGGCTCATGCTGTAATCCTAGGATCCTAGGATCACAGTTCCTGCCTGGGCAGGAATATCCATGAGACTCATCTCTAATTAACCACCAGAAAACCAGAAGTGGCACTGTGGCTCAAGTGGTAGAGCACTAGCCTTGAGCTGAAAGAGCTCAGGGACAGTACCCAGGCCCAGAGTTCAAGCCCCATGACTGACAAGAAAGACAGACAGACAGACAAGAAAGGAAAGAAAGAAAGAAAAAGAGAGAGAAAGAAAGGAAGGCAGGAAAAATTGAGCTGGATACTGATGGCTCACATCTATGGTCCTAGCTGCTTGGGAGGTTGAGATTGGGAGGATCATGGTTAGAGGCCAGCCCAGACAGACAAATCCAAGAGACTCCATCTACACAGAAGGAGGCTGCTCCATAGGTAGCATAAACCTGTGATCTCAGGCTGAGGTGGGAAGCCTAACATAGGCAGATCTCAGCTCAGGTATGTGTCCTGGCAGGACACATATCCAGATAACCAGAGCACTGTATAACTACTTAAAGATAATAAAATGTAATTAAAAAAACCAACCAGACCTAAAAGGGTTGGAGGCATGGCTTAGCCTTTTCTGTAGCCGGCCTGTGTAAGAATGTGGTAACTTCAACTTCAGTTGATCAGACCAGAAACCTTGGGGTCATCCTTGACTCCCACCCAATCTGTCAGCAAACCCTTGTCCAAACTGCCACCATCTGTCTTCCTGGTTGTTGCTGTAGCCTCTCAAGTCTTCTCCCTGTTTTCCCACTCCAATAATGCCTGACTTAGCTAGCCTGAGGTTCTGAGTTCAAACCCCAACAGTACTTCCCCCCCCCAAAAAAAAAGACAAGAAGGATGATAGTTCTATGGGAGAGAGAAGAGGAAAAAATGATCAAGCCCTGGTTGGGCTAACCCAGTATTAAAAGATTGAGGAGATGATGACAGTGCCCAGAAAAGGAGACTGAAACTAAGCAGACAGTAAACGAAGAGGAAAACCTAAGGAACATAATTTTCAAATCACAAGTATAGCATAGTAACTGCTGAGAAAGAGAAAGTAGTGTTCCAGCCCCCACCGCAGGGACATGTCAGCTTCAGCTCTTTGTTATTGCCTTTACTGCCAAATAAAATCCTGCCTCTTCCATGCTGCTACCACTCTGACCACCAGCTCCTTCTCTCCAGAATGACTTAATTAAAGGCCCCTAGTAGGGTGCTGGGGACCCAGGGAGCTCTGATGTGGAGACAAACAAATGAATTGGACAGTGAGGGGCCTGCTGTGATCAGATAAGTACAAGAAGTCTGAAGAGGATGGGGGAGGGCTCTTCCCAGGCTGGGGGATGTTGGGAGAGGCTCAGGGAGGTGACATTGAAAGGGGAATAGAATGGAATTTGCACCTCCACATTGTCAGTCCCCTTCAGCTCAGCCCTCTCACTATTCTCTTTAATTTCAAATTTTTTATTGCCTAATGGCTGTAAGCCTAATTCAAATGTGAATCTCTGTACTAGGCTCTGCTTTCCTGTGCTCTCCCTATGTGAACTGGTCCAATAGGAACTTTCAACTGGGGCCCCTCTGCAACCTCTGTGGCCTGGTCTGGCAGAGGCCCTCTGGATGCATACACTGACCTGTCCTTCCAGGGAAATCCAGCACTTCCTGCCTCCATCATGCTTTTGGGGACTAAGAACAGCCTTATGACTCACCCTAGGCAAGACTGATACTAGGGGCGATTCTAGTAAGTCAGTAATGAAGGAACACAGAAGTCAAGAGAGGAAGGCTGGTGTCGGTCTGGTGCCTCTCCAATCCTGAGCTAAGCTGGCAGGCTGTTGGGAAGGGAGTTAAGTGTTGAGTAAATTCTGAATGATTAGTTGTTGCAAGACTACAGGAATGTACAATATACAAGGCACCAACCCTGGGCTGGCCTTTCTAACACCCCCGGGGGAGGGGGGTACAGCACGACTCCCTTGGGCCTGGCATTTGGGGAGAAGACCTTTGTAACATTTTTGCCTGGCCACCGGTGGCTCTTGGAGAACTAAGCGCAAGCACCTGTTCTGCTGCCAAGCTTTTCTTAACAGAGATTGCCGAGCGGAGGCAACTGTTGGTTTTCCAGCGCGGCGCCCTGGGCTCTGGGAGGCAGCTCGGTGAGCAGCCGGGCCCGGGCGGAGCCAGCCGTGGTCCTCCCAGCCCCCGGGCACGTGCGGGCGCCGGCGCCCCCTCCCGGGCAGTCGGGCCGCTCTCCGCGGGCTGCCCAGAAAGGGAAATCCCGGAAGAAGCCATTGTTGTCCCCCTCTTGTGGTCATCCTCCGAAGCGGGTGCGCGTGGAGCAGCGGTGCTCAGCTCAGGCCCTCCCGGGGCGGGCGGGCCACCGGCATCCCCCCGCTTCCCGGCTCTCTAAATGAAGGGAAGCCCCAGGCCAGGAGGCCAGCGTAGCAAACGGACGGCGAGGAGCCCGGGTCTGGGCACAGCCAGCCAGAGACGGGAGAGACACGAGTTCTACTCCGGCTCTGACCTGGGTCAACAAGGTCACCTTGGCCAGTGGCTTCTTCCCCTCACCGCCTCCAACTGCCCTTCTGCCACCCGCACCGAGGCCCCTCCAGCCCCACACCACTCGGGGAAGTCGGGGCGGGGGGCGAAGGCTCCTCTCGCCCGGCTCCCTTGCCCCGCGTGGGCCTTGGGGTGAGCCTTGGCGCGGCGCGCAGCGCTGGCTGTGGACCCCGGGCCGGGCGCCAAGGGCGCACAGACGCCGCGCGTTCCTTCTCACCCGCCACCCGCAAACCCTGGCCAACCCGGGTGCGGAGCCCGAGAGCAGCCAGCCCCGAGCCCCGCCTGCCTAATCCGTTTTAGGAGCCTCACCTCCTCCGCGAAGCTCTCCCGGCTTAACCCCATCACTCCCAGCCTCCCTCCGCGGCACGTGCGGGGGGGGGGTGTTGTTGCTTGGGGTTTTCTGGAGGTGCGCGTGTGGCCACCGTGTGCGGAGGGCGGTCACCGTGTGCGGAGGGCGGTGTGGACTGCCAGGCCGCTCACGGTGTTCTGAAGGATGAGGTTGACGGGGTTTCTAGCCTGGGCTCCCTCCCTCCTCGGCCTCCCCCCCTCCCGACCCTCCTCCTCGCAGACTGTCACGGCTCCGTGTGCTCGATTCACTCCCCACCCCCTTTTCGTCCCACAGTGGCGGCGGGGGCCACGGGCAGAGAGCACTGCGCATTTGAAGCTTCGACCCAGCTTCCACACCGACTTTGCTGTAAGTCCCTCCTCCTCCGGGCTTTCCTGCACCCCCCCCGCCCCCCAAGGTGCCACAGCGTGGAGATAGGAATCCCCCACTGTCGGGAGACCCAAGCAGCAGAGCAGGGGCGATGCCCCCCCCCCCGTCTGTTGTCCCGTCTGCTGTCCCGGCCTCTCAGCCACAGGATGGAGAGCCGCCCCGGTCTTCGGTGGCCATTCCGGCCCTTTGACCTGACCTGGGGGGGAAAGGGCATGGGAGGGGCAGTCCTGACCCTTTATCCGCCGTGCTGCATGCCCTTGGACGCTTCTTCTGGGACTCAGTTTACTCATCTGAAAAGTAGGGGCAATAACGGACTGAAGGAGAGTGAGCAGGAAGCCCTGCCGCCCGAGTCCTCGCGTGAAACCCGTGGAGATTCGCGGCCCGGTGCTTGGCAACCGCGTGCCGCCCGGGCGGTCCCACCCCGGGGTCCTCGGAGTTCTCCCGACTCGGCCCACTCACCCCACGTTCCTCCCGATCCTCTGCAGACAGGCTCAGGGCTTGCTTCTGCCTGCCTCCAAGTTGGGGGCCCGGCATGACCGGGTGGTGTCCCGCGCGTGGGGGGCGGTGGGAGGGGGCTGGTCCTAGGGGTCCCCCGTGTGCGGAGTTTGGCTCGGGGCCGGTGGGCGGGGCCTGGGGCGGAGGCAGGCGGGCTTGTGGGGGGGGGCGCTGGGGAGATGGGGCGTCCTCTAAAACCAGGTCCCCACCTGACACTAGCGGGGAGGGGGGGCAGAGCGGGACTTGGGCAGGGGGGCGGGCCTTGAGGGCTGGACTGGTGGGGGAAGAAGGGGGAGCCTAGGGGCGGGGCTTGGGGAGTCGCCCCACGCAGGGCGGGGCTCCAGCAGCCGCGGGATCCGCAGTTGGGACTCGGCGCGCCCCAGCCGCCGCGCTTCCCTCCATTCGGGTGTCCCCGAAGCCTCCGGGGAATCTGGGGGTCCGGCTGGCGCGGGGCCGGCCCAGCCTCTCCCTTCCCTCGGTGGGGCCTAGACGGTCGGAGGGGGGAGCGGTGACATGGAGCCTTCTCCCACGCCGGGGCAGTCGGAGACCACGCGCCTGGTGAGCCCCCGGGACCGCGGAGGCGCCGGCGCCCTGCGCTTGAAAAGGTAGGGCAGACGGACAGACAGACCGGGCCTCCGCAACCCGCGGCCCGTCCATGTCGTTGTCTCCCTGGGTTCGCAGCCCGCTTCCTCCCCCGCCATTCCCCCAGCCGACCCGCCGGCCCAGCCCCTCCGCCTCCCCTCGATCACCCCGTTTTCTCCTCGGCCCGCGCCCCAAGCCTCGGGACTCCTCCGTGGCCCCCGCCGCGTCTGACTTCCCCGGGAGCAGCTGTCGCTCCGCTCCGTCGTGGGGCCACAGCTCGGGCCGGGAGCCGCGAGGTCCGCAGTGCCGGGACCCCGGGAGCCCGGAGCCCGGGAGCCCCCGCGGGCCTGCCGGCCCCACGCGCGGCTGGGGCGCGCCCTCCAGCCGTGGCCAGTTACGCGCACGGGGACGGAGCTGGGCCCGGGCCGGGCGGCGGGAAGCGAGGGGGTGGCAGAAAAGGAGCAGGTGTGGGCTGGGCGGCGGGGGTATTCCCGGCTCCGCACAGACGGGGCCGGGGGCGGCGAGGTGTGAAATGAGGCGCCGAGCGCGGGGACAGCGGGCCGGGGGCGGCCGGAACCACCTCCGCACCCTGCCGGCCTCCCGCGCCCGCCGCCCGGGATCCGCCACCCCGGCCCTCCCCCAGACACCTCTGCTGAGCCATTTTGTCTGTTGGCTGTCCGTCCGGGTGTCCCCAGAATTTGATCAGGGACCCCCCCCCCGCTGTCTTGTTATCCCCATCTCTCCCTGCCTTTCGGTTTTCCTCGGGGCCCCTCTCCCTTTGTCTCTGCCATGGTCTTCTGTGCGTTTCCAGCTCTTTCTCAGGGAGGGGACCTTAAACCTGGGGGTGTGGGGGGAGCAGAAGGGAGGGAAGATGCTTTCTGCAGGGCACTGCAGAGGTGGGCCGGGCAGCTGCGGGGGCGGCGGCCGCTGTGGCCCTGGCATCGCCTCCGCAGCCCCTTGACTTTCATCGGTCCCTTCTCCCTTGCCAGAGGCCCCCTTCTCTCCACCCGCCCCCCCAATATTGCTTGTCGTTTGTTGGGAATTTCAGAGGACTGGGGAGAGGAAATAGCCGGCCTGCTCAACACAATGTAGCCACACACCTACCCCAGCGGGGAGGCCTCTTTAGTACCCAATTTATTCCAACAAAAAGGAGCCATCAGCCTGTTGATGGGCACCTACCTTGATGACTGATTTGTGCCGTTGTCTTACAAGACCAGGGAAGACTTCGTGGCTCCTGCCCCCCGAAACCCCCAGCCTCGGTTTGCTCTTCTGAACACATCTCCATCTCTTAGCCCATTTTCATTCTCATATGACCATTAGTCACCAAACCCCGCAGGATTTCCCCAGAGGCTGGCTACTTACCTGCCCCTCCTCTAACACTGCACCTGCGTGGTCTAGCCAGCACCTGGGTGAGTCTGTTCTAGACCTCCCCCTCCCCATCTCCTCTCTCTGTGCCAACAGCAAGGTCCTCTCCGTGCATCTGCCTTTCCTTTCTGCCCTCCCCTAGCACCTCATGCGTAAACTCCAAGCCGCAAACCTTGAACGTGGTCCACGCTCCATACATATATGTCGGGAGCAGCCTTCTCCATATAGGCTCAGCTCTTCTCTGAAGTCCTCTTCTCCCTCACCGGAGTTGGTCACTCCTTCCCCTCTGCCCTAAAGTAATTTGTTTATCACAAACCCCAGCACTGCCTCTCCCTGACAGAAGTCCTCTATTACACCTCGGTCTCTACCACTAGACAGGGCGTTCTTCTGGAGATGCAAGTAGATGGGCACCATGGCCCCCCTTATCTCCACATCTCCCTAGAAATAGAGACACATAGGTGCAGATGGAAGTCTTAGAAAGGGCTTTTTGACACTCTGGAAATCAATCTACCTGCAAGAAAATTTCCCCACAATCACCAAATGCTCTACCTCCTTCAAGCCTCAGTTTACCCACCTAGCAGAGCTTTCTCAAACCAAGAAGCTCCCCCGACCCCAGCTTTACTGCTCTGATTCCATTTCTATCTGGAGCCATCATTTTTCCCTGGTAGGTAGTCTTGTCACACCTCTGTGACTGTTTCCGTTCTGTCCTTTCTGCTTAGTCCTCTATTCTGTGGAAAGTTCTGTATTTGCTGGGGTTCAGGATGGGCGGTGGAGGTGGTAGTAAAAATTAAGCCAGATCTTAAACTCAGTCACTGAGCCTGGACTCTGACAGCCTCTCCCCTTTGTCAAGCAAGGCTTATGACACCAGGCAGGGAAGGGGCCACCACCAGGTGCTTCTGGTCAGGCTGAGGTTCAGTTGAAATGTGGCAGACTCCAAGTCCAGTGCTCCTGCCTCTTCCATCCTCAGACTTTTTGGGTCCCAACATTCCACTCTCCCTTTATTTAGTTTAGTTTGTTTGATGGAGACAGGGTCTTGCTCTGCGTGCCAGGCTGGCCTTAAACTCAAGATCCTCCTGCCTCAGCCTCCCTCCCAGGTGCTAGGATTCCAGGCTAGAACCATCACTCTGGCAGCACACCCCTCTCCAAAGGGGCACTTGAGCTGTATGTATATCTAGGGGCAAAGGGGGCAGCGTCTGGGAGTGGAGGCTGGTGGAGGGGGGCTAGGAGCGAGGCACGCGAAGGCAGGTTCCTGTGTTGAGTTACTTCACACTTAAGCACTGCCATCCCTTCGATTTCCTTCGCCTGGCACTATTCAGTGTCTCTGTCAAAGCTCTTGTTCTTTTCTTTTTTTGTCAGTCGTAGGGCTTGAACTCTGGGCCTGGGCGCTGGCCCTCAGCTCTTCAGCTCAAGGCGAGCGCTCTACCACTTGAGCTACAGCGCCACTTCTGGTTTTCTGGTGGTTTATTGGAGATAGGAGTCTCGTGGTCTCTCCTGCTCGGGCTGGCTTTGAACCGTGATCCTCAGATCTCAGCCTCCTGAGTAGCTAGGATTACAGGCGTGAGCCACCAGCGCCCGGCTAAAGCTCTTGTTCTTTAGGGCCCTTCTTAGGTTACCTCCTCCAGCTGGTCCTGATTTCCTCATGAGAGCATATCTGGAGCCCTGTAACTATTCCAGTGGCCATGTCGGCCTTGTGCTGTGTGTCATAGTGTTTGGGATCACACTTGTGCTGTTCACTGAGAAGTCTCTGAGATCAGGATGTCCCACTCATTTTGTATTCCTTGCGGCGCCTATCATAGTGCATTAATTTGGTTGGGCTCTGGGCTGGGCTGGGCTGCACCAACCACTACCCCAGCGGCATTGCTCCCATGAATCCTCTCCCTAGCTAGGCCTCATACTTATTAAAATATTAACCTACACTGTTGTAAGCTTCCTTCCAGCTATATGGTTCTGTGGCTCTATGTATGGAAGGAAGAAAAAGGGAGGCCAGGATTTCAACTATTCCTTTGGCTTCAGTGTACTCACAAGGCTCTGGGTGCACTGGGCCTAGAGCAACAGTGAGACACAAGCCTGTCTGCTGAGTCCAGCCCCAGGGGCTGAGGACCTGGGAGCCAGGAGGGCAGCCTGTGGCTCCTGCCCTAGGTTGACTGAGTTGCCTGCCTCAGTCTCTTCACAGAACCCTCAGAGCCCCTTCCTGACGGACCCAAGCCTGAGGGAATGGCCAACCACCGCTGCCACAGGAACCCGTTACCACAGTCAGGCCTCACTCCTGAGAGGCAACACGCGAGGAAGCAGCTGTACGCTGCCTCTGCCGTGTGCATCCTTTTCATGACCGGGGAGGTGGTGGGTAAGTTGGAGAGTAGCCCTCCAAACTCATGCTCTATGAAGTCCTGAGGTTCTTGGATTGAAAGTCCAAAGGTGGGTGGTGAGGAGGGGCGGTGAGTGCCCAGGACTCAACACAACCCCACGGGGGATTTTGAGTAAGTCAGTGCCAGGCTGGGGGGCCAGGGCCTACCTCTCTGTGTGAACTGGTCTTTTTTTTTTTTTGGTCGGTCGTGGGGCTTGAACTCTGGGCCTGGGCGCTGTCCCTCAGCTCTTCAGCTCAAGACAAGCGCTCTACCACTTGAGCTACAGCGCCACTTCCGGTTTTCTGGTGGTTTATTGGAGATAGGAGTCTCACGGTCTCTCCTGCCCAGGCTGGCTTTGAACTGAGATCCTCAGATCTCAGCCTCCTGAGTAGCTAGGATTACAGGCGTGAGCCACCAGCGCCCGGCTGAACTGGTCTTTTAAGAACCCCATTTTCATGATGGGAGCAGTGGCTCATGCCTGTAGGCTTAGCTATTTGGGAGGATCACAGTTGGATCCCTCCCCCATCTCATCCAATACAAAGCTTATTGATGCTTCACACACAGCCTCCCAGCCACACAGGAAAAATAAATAGGAAGGCTGCTGTCCAGGCCAGCCCAGGTTTAACACAAGATCCTATTGAAAAACCAAAAGCCATGCTACCAGTGGCTCATGCTTGAAATCCTAGCTACTTGAGAGGCTGGAACCTAAGAACTGTGGCTTAAAGCCAGCTGGGGGGTAGGAAAGTTTGTAAGAGTCTTATCTCTAATTCACCACCAAAAAGCCAGAAGTAGAGCTGTGGCTTAAGTGATACAGCAGTAGCTTTGAGCAGAAATACTCAGGAATAGTGCACAGGCACATGCACGCACGCGCACACACGCACACACACAACTAAAGCATGGGCTACAGGCAAGTGGCAAAGTGCCTGTCAAGCAAGTACAAAGTTCTGAGTTCGACCCCAGTGCACACACAAACAAAAAACCACCCTATTTTCTTTTCTTTTCTTTTTTTTTTTTTTGTCGGTGGTGTGGCTTGAACTCTAGGTCTGGGCACTGCCCCTCAGCTCTTCAGCTCAAGGCTAGTGCTCTACCACTTGAGCCACAGCACCACTTCTGGCTTTTTCTGTTTATGTGGTGCTGAGGAATTGAACCCAGGACCTCATGCATGTGAGGCATGCATTCTACCACTGAACCACCTTCCCAGCCCCCTATTTTTTTATTATGAAGATAAAATATGTCACTGAAGGAGTATTTGGATATTATAACATCATTTATAGGCCATACACAATTACTAATATAGTCAGATGAGCTGTGGGAAGCCAACCCATTGTCTATCAAATGATTTCTCAGGCTTCTGTGGCCAAGGCTCATATATTGTTGACAAGTGAAAAGAAGAAAACAGCCACCTGTGATCCCTATGCCTGGGAAAGCCACATTGTCACTTTGGCATAGTTTCCTCATCTGTTTTCCATGCTTGTGCGCGTACAGCACATGGACCACTGTACCTCATTTTGCCCTTGCAGGTGGGTATATGGCGCATAGCCTGGCCATCATGTCCGATGCAGCTCACTTGCTGGCAGATGTGGCCAGCATGTTGGGCAGCCTCTTCTCCCTTTGGCTTTCTACCCGGCCAGCCACCCGCACCATGACCTATGGTTGGCACCGCTCAGGTAAGGGACCTCAATGACTGTGTGCCCCTCTCCTCTTGCCGAAGGATGCCTCTCAGGCTGCAGAATGGGGTTCTGACAGCTTGTCTTTCCCTGCAGAGACTCTGGGGGCCTTGGCCTCTGTCTTCTCCCTCTGGCTGGTCACTGGCGTCCTCCTGTACCTGGCCTTCGTCCGCCTGCTGCACAGCGACTACCACATCGAGGGCAAAACCATGCTGCTGACCGCCAGTGTTGCAGTCTGTGCCAATCTTATGTACGTTCCTGCGTGGAGCCCACACCCTGTGGGGTTCAGGATTCAGGTCATCTTCCAGACACACCAGGGTTTCCCTGTCTTTGCTCTACTGAGAAGAGGCTAAGAGAAATAACTTCAGTTCAGGCAGCAGACATTTGTGTACCAGCTCCCTGGGGGAGGTGGGAGAGAACTTCATCGGTATGATCTCAGTTAAGCCTTGCAATTATTGCTGTAAAAGATCCTGGTAGGAATCAGGCAACTTGCCTGAATCATATAGCTAGTTAAACAGAAGCCAGGATCTGAATCCATGCCCGTGGCATCCCAAGTTTCATCATTTGTGCTCCCAGACAGTGCTGTTCTCTTCCTGGGCTGAGAAGCAGGTGGAAATGAGGGATGGAGGAGGTGAGAGGAAGCCAGGAGCAGGCTTGGCTGAGCTGCTCTGTTTTCTCCCTCAGAATGGCCTTTGTGCTGCACCAAGCTACCCCCCATCACAGCCATGGGCCTAGGGGGGCTGGATATGCACCTCTGGAAGAGGGATCTGCAGACCCCTCGTCCTTGGGGAGGAACACCAGTGTCCGGGCAGCCTTTGTGCACGTGCTGGGGGACCTCCTGCAGAGTCTTGGGGTTCTGGCAGCTGCCATCCTCATCTACTTCAAGGTACTGTTATGGAGGCCTGCCTCAACCTCCTCAGCCTTCCTGTCCCATCCCTCGTTCTTTTCCCCACCTTCCGGACCCTCAGCCTCTCTCCCCTCGCCGCGGCTCCCCAGGCATCTGCCTGCTCTGGGTCATGTTCCTTTTCCTTTCCCCAGGGTTTTCAAAGCCTTCCTGTTTGTCAGGATGTCTTGAGGTGTCCCTCTGAAGCCTGGTCCCTGGGCTGGGTGGGTGGGGTCTCTTTCTCTACAGCCTCAATACAAGGCCGCCGACCCCATCAGCACCTTCTTCTTCTCTGTCTGTGCCCTTGGATCCACGACCCCCACTCTCCGAGATGTTCTTCACATCCTCATGGAAGGTGAATTTGACACCACTGCTCCCCACTCTTGGAGCCCTCTTGGACCCCAGCTAGCACCGGGCCCCTTCCTCTTCTCTCAAGAATGTAGTCCTGTTGCTGGAAGGGTAACTGGGACATAGAGTAGGCCGTAAAGGTCAGCTAGGTGGGTGGGTACAGAATGGGAAATGGAGGGCTGGGAGTGTGGCTGAGTGGTAGGGTGCTTGCCTAGCATGCATGAAGCCCTTGGTTCAATTCCCCACTACCACATACACTGAAAAAGCCAGAAGTGATACTGTGGCTCAAGTGGTAGAGTGCTAGCCTTGAGCAAAAGAAGCTCAGGGACAGTGCCCAGGCCCTGAGTTCAAGCCCCAGGACAGGGAAATGGAGCCCTGGCAGTTAAGACATGACAGGTGCTGGTTTCAGGTGCCCCCCGCTGCATAGGATTTGAACCTGTACGGGACACACTGCTGTCGGTGCCAGGAGTCCGAGCAACCCATGAGCTGCGTCTGTGGGCCTTGACGCTCAGTTACCATATTGCCACTGCACATCTGGCCATTGGTGAGTACACACTGCTTCCAGCCAGAAACTTCCCAGAACCATCCCCTTACCCCCTGCAGGTCGCAGTGGCCTCAATCACTGGGATTGCTTGTCTTTTTCTTTTGAGACAAGGTTTCGCTGAGTAGCCAAGGCTGGCCTGGAACTCACGATCCCCCTGTGTGTGTGAGCCTCCCAAGCTCTGGCACATATTATAGGCATATGTTACCACACCTGGCTGTTTTGTTCTTCATGATATCTCTCTACACACACCATTATCCCCTCACACACACCCCTCGGACAAGGAGGGCTTGGGCACTGCTTAGGGGGAGGTTTTATCCTCTGCAGTAGCACAGAGAACCAAGCATATTTAAAGGACTGACGGCACAGTGGGTCACTCAGGGCATCTCCACTAAGCGAGGTATCATAGCTACTTACAATGACAATGATGGAAGTGTGTGTGGCGACTAGGGGAAATGTTTATGGTATACTGCGAAGGGAACAAAGTCTGAATATAAAATTATAACTACATTATGATTCAACTATTAAAAATATATATGGTGACTCATGAGCTGACAAAGGATTTTTTAGTTTCTTCCAGATGCAAGAAGCAATCAAAGGCATGCAATTTGGATGCCAAAAATATCATAGCTTGAGGGGATACTTGACGGCAACTCTGGAAGGACAGTGGGGTGGCAGATTTTACATCTGGATTATCCTGGAAAGCTGAGTGGCTAGGCTGCGGGAGCATCTATCTGTGTATTGATGCTTTGAGGCAGGAGAGAATTGGAGGCTGGGAACAGGGGGTGTGTCAGCATGGCCCATTAGGGGTGAGTCTATCTGACATTTTCCTCGACAATTCTACGCTGTTCATACAACATGGAGAGGCAGGCAGGCAGCCCATTCATGCCCAGTTTTGAAGCTGTGCAGCCCCTGGGCCTTCCCTCCAACCTTATCGCAGTTCCTGCCTGTGCCCAACTCCCCAAGGATTGAGGCTGCCCTTATCACTCTCCCACAGACTCCACAGCTGACCCTGAAGCCGTCCTGGCTGAGGCCTCCTCCCGCCTCTACTCCCGCTTTGGATTCTCCAGCTGTACCCTGCAGGTTGAGCAATACCACCCTTCGATGGACCACTGCCTGCGCTGCCAGGAGCCCCGCGCCTGAGCCGCACCCCACCCTCGCCCCACTGCCAGGCCCAGGCTCAGCCCTGGACTCTCAGCACCTTCCTCTCTGATCACAGAGAAGGGACTTGAGCCGAGCCCGTCCCCCATCCTCCTCCCTCTCCCACTTGCCAACCCCGTCCCCCAGGGCCAGCCCCAGTGGGTAAGACTAAAGTGTGCAGGGGGCGTGGGACAGGAGTGAGCAGTTCAGGGGTCTAGGGTGTGTGGAAGCCCCTGAATTCTCACTCCCCACGGTCCTTGCTCTCCATGGCTGCAAGAGCCAAGCACGTCCTTTTTGTGCAATCCCTGTGTCCGGCTGGCTGGCTGGGGGCATCCGCCTGTCTGTGTACTGTTGGTGTGCCTATGCCCGGGGAGGTCAGCAGGGGCCCCCTCCCCACGTGGTCCTCACTCTGTCTATGCAGAGGCCCCAAGCTTGCACTTTGTCCATGTGTCTTAGCCCTGTGATTTTGTGCGCGCACGCGCATGTGTGTATGTATGTATGTGTGTGTGTGTGTGTGCGTGTTTCTTGGTGCTGTGGCCTATGTGTCTCTGTGCCTGTGTGGCTGTGCTCTGGTGGCTCGAGTCTGCTCATCCATGTGTGTGTCTGGAGGTCTGTCTGTCCATCCCTCTGTTGGTGCTGTGCCTTCCGCTATCCAAGGGAGGGGGAGGACTCTCTGCAGCTCCACCAATAAACTTGTGTCTAACTGCACCTCCGCCCCATGTGACTCCTCTGGAGGGGGGTCATTTGGGATTTGGGAACCATCAGACTCCCTCACACAGCTTCTGGCCCGCCACCTCCCTGCCCTCAGATAGAAGCTGAGCCCCCCCCCCCACCTCCTCTATTCCACAGCATCTCCCAGCCTGGGCTCTTGGTTCAGGGAAAGTCCTCCTGTATCCAATTTGGAAGGAAAGTGGCCAAGAAATCGTGGGTCCCAATTCACACTTAAAGGAACCAGCAAGCCAGGATACTGTCTTGCTGGTCACAGGGACGCTGGCTTCCTTTGGGGAAGAGGGGTTGAACCACAGAGCCTGGGTGGACTTGGTGCTCACATCGCTCAAGGCACCCTGGCCGGCCATGTGAACTTCATATCAAAGGCTTCTTTACACTTCATCCCCTCTTATCTTAAAAAATCATAGGTTTGGAAAGATTTGGTCTAACAAATCCTAAGAAGTGGTTGATTTTTTTTTTGAGATATAATTTTACTACATGGCCCTTCAAGAAGGTCTCAAACTTGGGGCTGGGAAGGTGGCTCAGTGGTAGAGCGCTTGCCTTGCATGCTCAAGGCCCTGGGTTCGATTCCTCAGCACCACATAAGCAAAAAGAAAAAGCCGGAAGTGGTGCTGTGGCTCAAGTGGTATAGTGCTAGCCTTGAGCTGAAGAGCTGAGGGACAGCGCCCAGGCCCAGAGTTCAGGCCCCATGATTGACAAAAAAAAAAAAAAAAAAGGAAGAAAAAGTGAGGAAATGAGGGAAGGAGGATGGAAGAAAAAAAGGAAACGAAAGTGTTTCCCCTTTTACCCTAGAGGTGTCAGGTACGGTTCATCCACCCAGCTTTGTCTGTATATACCAACATCTATGCAGCAACAAAATGGTTTGGTTTTATAGGCAGAAATAATGTAACCTGCATCCTGGACACATCTTTCATGGCAATCCACATGGATTTCATTAAAAAAAAAAAAAAAAGGCTTTTGGGTCCATTGACAATAAACTCCCTCACTGGTGTCCAGCTGGGAGCCTGGCCAGGCTGGGCCCTTGGTGCCTGGTGCCAGGGCTGATTGTGAGTGGAGGGCTGAGGGGTCCATCCACTCAGGCAGGCAGCCAGAGGCTTCCCCAGCTGCTCTCCATGCTTTGCTAGTTCCTGACACATTCTCATTTTACGTCTCATTGATTACGGCCCCTAGCGACAGGGTGGGGGAGGGGATGGGAGTGGAAATGGAGGAGAGGAAAGGAGGGTGGGAAAGAGGAAGACAAAATGGTCACCCTTCAAGCAGCTTTAAGCTGCTGCTGTCCTCGATGTCCAGTGCCCCGGAGGAAACAATGCCCAGGGCAGAGACCCAGGAATTTAGTCCATCTACTGCCCCCACACCCTATAAGGTGAGGAAGAGAATTCTGAGGCTCACTGAGAGGAAGGACACATAGAGGTCACTCACCTACAGAGGGGACAAGAGCCGCCTCCCATCCCCCAGCCCTGGATAGCACTCGCCAAGGTAAATTTCTGCAACCTTCCTCAGTTCCTCAACCACCTGCTGCTCTGGTCCTCTGGCCCTGGGCTGCCAGGGCCAGGCCCCTCCCTTTTGATACTGGCCTTTTGATGATTCTGGTCAATTTAGCCTCCCTGTGTCTCATTTTTCCTATTGGTAAGGCAGGAATTATATGGTGCCTTTCATGCCAATGTGCCCTGGTATGTGTATATAAATGTTAAACTGGATGCTAGTGGCTTAGCTACTCAAGAGGCTGAGATCTGAGGTTCAAGCAAGCCATAAGATTCTTATCTCCAATTAACCACCAAAAGGCGAACTGGAACTGTGATTCAAGTGGTAGAGCCCCTAGCTTGAGCGAAAAAGCTCAAGGGGCAGTGCCCAGGACTGGTATAAAACAACAACAACAACAACAGTAAAAACCCAGCATTAGCTTTAGGGTCAAATTCCAGAAGGCAGGGAGAGCTTTCTGGGGAACAAGATGGCTTAGCACCGTGTCTCTGCAGGGACAGAAAATCAATAATTATGGAGCTTACACTTTTGTGCAAGGTGCTGGGAGGCAGGCAGCAGTCTGTTCGCCCCCCAGATGGGGACAATGGAGCTTTACTGCCCTTCATCATGTAGTTCAATGCTTCCGGAGTTGAGATTGCAACTGACAAAAGTCCTTGGCCCTATTTCCTTGCCACTCTTTTAGGTAGCCTCTGTTAGGGACAGGGAAGGATGGGAGGACGAGGAGCATTTTCAGTCACTGGTATGTCCTCTCCCTCCCAAGGGAGCCCAGGATAGCCTTATCTCTCCAGAGCTGCCTCCTCCTCCCGTTATCCCCAACCAATCCCCTCCATTTGCTTATCTGGAAGTCCCTTCCATGGTGTGCACTTCCTGAGAGATAAAATGCCCGGTCGGGGAGAGGCGAGTGAGGAGAGGCTAGAGGGAGAAAAGCAGGAGAGGGTCCATTCATCAGAGCCCTGGCAGATCCTTATACAGATGAGTGTCTAGGGAGGAAGGGAGCCTGCGATCCAGAGAGGGTCATGGGAAGGTAGCAGGAAGCAAGGGAAGAGAGGAGGAAAGATCTGGGGTTGTCTGGCAGTTGGAAGTCTTCAGAAGAGGGACAGACTGGAGACCAGGGAACCAGATGGAGCAGGCAGATTGGCAGTGTGTAGAACCTGTGCTGCAGAGACTGGACCAGGGCATGGAGCAGGGATGCTTTCTCCTTTCTGGGATGCTCAGCAGCAGGAGGCCGGAGAGGCTTCACTGAATCTGACAGGAGGGGCTCCAGCCTCAGAGGCCCGTGGGCTCAAAGGGCAGCACAGAGTGGGCTAATAAGGCCATCTGCACCACCTCCGCCCCTTAGGGGACTTCAATGCAGACTAGTCTGTAGGGGGCGGTGTGGCCACCCCAAGCCAGACTGTTGGGAGAGCAGCGCCCTCTGGAGGCCAGTGCTATGGCAGTGGCAGAGGCAGCTGGAGTCAGGAGAGAATCTCATGTCTGGAGTCACTCAGGTGATTCACCTGTGTGAAGAGTCTTTTTGTTGTTCGAGAGGCAGACTGGAATGTGTATCTAACACTTTTGTTCATTGGCTGGCATGCTACCAACTGAGCCACACTTCCAACCCCTTGAGAGATTATTTTGTTTTTATGCCATACTGGGGCTTGAACTCAGGACTTGGGCATTATCCCTGAGCTTTGTGGCTCAAGACTAGCGCTCTACCACTTGAATCACAGCTCAACTTCCAGCTTTTTAAAAATTTTATTTAATTGGGAGTAAGAGTCTCACACACGTTCCTGCCCAGGATGGCTTCAATTGTGATCCTTAGATCCCAGCTTCCTGAGTAGCTAAGATTATAGGCATAAGCCACTGGCACCCTGCTTGAGCTAACAAATTTAGAAGGGACTGAAAAGCAACCAAACCCAGGAAATTAAAAGGTCTGGGGCGGGCTAGAGACATGGTTTAAGCTCTAAAGTCTAAAGCGCAAAAAGCCCTGAGTTCAAACCAGGAGAGAGGAGAGAGGAGGGAGAGTTGGGGGCAGGGGAGGAGGAGAGAGAAAGAGGAAGACAGGCAGACCAAAATAAGCAGATTTTAGATCCTGCAACAGAGAACTTGCTTTTTCCTGACCACTAAGTGCCTAGAGATTGTTCCTGCTTCCTTCCATTCCACCCACTTGCTGGACCCAGGACTGCGCTACTCAGGACTTCTTGGAGGTACAGTGACAATGGGGACTCACTCCCCTGTGGGAACTATCCTTGAAGGAAGGCCAGCTTCTCCTTCTAGCTCCGAGCCCCTAGTAAAAGCACATAATGAGGGAGGGCTGTGGGTAAAGAAATGAAGGATGGGGGCTGGGAAGGTGGCTCAGTGGTAGAGCGCTTGCCTTGCATGCCTTAGGCCCTGGGTTCGATTCCTCAGCACCACATAAGCAAAAAGAAAAAAGCCGGAAGTGGCGCTGTGGCTCAAGTGGTAGAGCACTAGCCTTGAGCTGAAGAGCTAAGGGACAGCGCCCAGGCCCAGAGTTCAGGCCCCATGACCGGCCCCCCCCACCAAAAAAAAAAAGAAATGAAGGATGGAAGGATGGTGACAGATGGACACGGAGTCAAAGGCCCATCCCCAGCTGTCAGATCAAGAGAAATCCATACAATGTCATATTTGCCCTCAGCTCCCACCAAGGGCCAACAAGCCTGTTTCATACATGCTCCCCGCCCATCTCATCAACAGAAATATTTGCTATTAACTATGCAGGTGCCTCTCTCTCATGGCAGTGATTTCTAAGGCCATCCATGGTGGGTGATGCATCTTTCCAAGGGCCTGCTTTGGGC